GGAATCAGGGAGACAGGGAGGGAGGAAGAGAGGGAGAGAGGGAGGGAGGGGGGAGGGGGGAGGAAGGGAGACAGGGAGAGAGGGAGGAAGGGAGACAGGGAGATAGGGAGTGAGGGAGAGAGGGAGAGAGGGAGAGAGGGAGGAGGAAGGGAAGTTGGTTATCACTCAGAAAAGTTTTCCTGACCCTGTTCCCTTCAAATCACATTCTGGATGATGGATACCAATTGTATTTTCTTTTATCAACCTTATCAACTGCTGTGATTACCACATAAATCTTGATACAACTGGCTAGACTCCAAATAATCTCTTGAAGAAAAGCTATTAATTACCAAGACCAGACACCCAACAACTTTACCAAACAATACTGTAAACTCATGTCCAGGACTCCTCCTGCTGATTCTAGGACCAGTGGAGGTTTCACCAATGATCAATGCAACATTTAGTTCTTTGCAGAAAACACCCTCCTAGACAAGACCACACTCGGTCTCTGCCTTTGTCCAAGCTGTATCTTGTTAGTATCACTTCTGTTTGTTCATTCTTATCTAGAATATTCACCTCAAAATCCATCAGGAAGTGGAAACTCCCTCCATGGAAAAGTGCTTTAATCATGTTGGGCATATAAATAACAGAACATTATACAGCTCTGAAAAATAAGAAGTCTCTTTGCACTTGCATGAAAAGGTCTCCAAGCTGTACCATGGAGTAAGAAAAGGCAGAAAACCTGTGTGTGTGCAGCACACGATGATCTACTTTTAAAGGGTGGGGATTTTATGTAGGTGAGGAATAGCTCTAAGAGGAAACCTGACATGCTGATGGTGGTGTCTGCTGGAAAAGGAGCAAGACATGGGGTTGGGGAATCCAAAAATGAGAGTGAGTCTGACCCAAGTCACTCTTGTGGCTTTTGTGCCTTTGTGAATGATTGATCCATTGTACAACCACAGCCTCCAGGATCCCGATACCAACATAGCACATTCAAGAAGAAAGGAAGCATTTCATACGTGAATACAGTATTGCCATCAAGGTCTATGAAATGCAAGTTACCATAGAAGAAAAACAACAACAACAACAACAACAACAACAAAGCAAACTACAATGAATCATTTCACTGCTAAGAGAAGAATTTCGGTTCTCAAGAAGTAAAAACACAAGTATCAGAAGTTGTAAGCATCACAGGGGAATCTTACAGCAGCTCTGTGACTCCCATCTCCTGAAGCCCGTCTTCTAGACAGCAGATCCCAAGGTTCTGCTTGTCTGTATGATTGTTATCACAGTTCGATCAAGTCAGTGGCATGGGGCACCACTCTAGAGCTCAAGTCCCGTTTCTATCCAGAACAACAGGATGACACAGGCAGATGGCTTGGGAAGATACTTGAGTGTTTTCTAAGGAACAAAGCCCTATCTGGCTCCCGGAGCTATGCAATTATGTCATTTCCAGCAAACCACAGAAGAGAGGGAGAACATGGCTGAACTAGAGAGTGGAG